TTATCTTTATTTTTAAGCAAAACAATACCTTCACTGCACTTTGATACGCTATCTTATCAGTGAGCTCATTTATTGGATCCACATGCTCTTAATCATTAGTATTTCTCCATAACCCTTGCCTGTTTTTGGGTTAATAAAATCATGATCATACGTTTTCTTACTATTTACCAGAAATTCTAATTCGGACCAGTGTGGTTGAGATGAACAACAAAATATGATGCCAATATCCTGTAGCCATATCAGTTAACCTATCTTCTGGATTGTTCCCTTGAGAACAGCTTGAGTAAGATTGCCTCCAAAGTAAGAGCCTATTGAATGTATAGGAATTAGCACAACCAACAGAGCCCGTTACATGCACACATAATAGGACCAGTACCTGTTTAATCTGCTTCAGCAAATGGCCAAAGATAAATTTCATGCATACTTCTATCATCGATGTTAGATGAAGCTGTGGCTACAGTATTAGAACCATCTTCTTTAAATTCTAATTCAAAGCAATAAGTATCTTGTTAATTTCCCATAAAAACCTTACTAACTGCAACAACATTATTTTTTTTGAATTCCTTGAACTGTATATTTCATTGCTTCACCTTGCAAATATGGATCGGCTCCGAAACCTTCCCAGCCTCTAAAAACAAGAGCTTTATAATCAATTGGGTCACTGACAGGCCTCGAAAAGAAATCAACACCTTTCGACTTGAACTCATAAACAATTACATCAGCACGATCATACATTAATTGTTTATTGAATGATGATGCAACTGTTAAAGCAGCTGGATAAGCAGTGTCAAAATCCGCACCTCTCACACAATGGAGCATCATTTCCACAGAGACCTCCAGTAAAATCAAGGCCTTCTCCATGAAGAGAACCTGTACTACCACAAGGACTCCAAGACACACCAATGACTGTAGTAATATTTACGTTTTCGGCAATATTAGGGGTTTCAACGATAGCTGTAGCTTGTTTAAATGCATCCAACCAAACACTCACAACTCTACCTCCCAATGGTGATAGATAAAATGGTGAACTTGTTGAATATTGATCAGGTGCTCCAAAAATCAAAAAGTCTTCTTTACGTTTAATCTTATCATCATGCTTTTGTTACTAAGAGCGGCAAGAGCAGTTGGTAACGTTATGTCAAGCTATTTCATGTGTAATTTTATAATTTACTCTTCTCATCTTAACCATTGGAGAGAAAACTTTTTCTATTTATATCCAAGGAGTCTTGATTAAAATTACTAAAGTCCAAATACCGTATTTGTCAAGTTAAAAAATCAACTCATTTTCGTTGAACTAAATTAAAATTTATCGCGTTCAATACTTTAATTGGTAGACTTGTAAATACGGATGATTACTACTATGTCACCATGCCTGAATAATATATCTATTTTAGACATGATACAAAATGCAACAACAGTCAGATAAAACTTCGGGCATTCGTGGGGATGTGGGTCAATCTCCAAATTTAACAATAGCTTACGTATTACGAATTAGAAATTTATTGAATGGACTTGATTCCAAATTCTTTGATTAACAATATCTGATTTTCATCATCTATATAAGGAAATCGTTTTTAGTTTTTCCGGTTTGTTAGGCTGATTTTTTTTGCACTAAGTCTCTGACTTAAGAAAAGGAGGGATAGTAATAATTTTGATACCACTGTTAATAGGTGTTTCAAATACGCAAAGATATCTCAGACTCTCAGCTCGACAATATTGCTTCAGTATAACTAACCTCTATTGACATATTCTAGAATCCAGTATAAGTGCGCCTTTCATCAAAAAAATCTAAATTGTCCTTGACCATGGCTAGTCAATCTATTTAATTATCGTAACCTTGAGTGTGTTGGTAAAAGGAGATAAAGATGGATGGCAGAAGAATAAATAACTAAAAACTATTTTTTGATCGAAGTATGGAAAGTAACGAAATGTATAAGTCAAAGTCTACTTAAAAATAGCAAGCTACAACGTTATTCCATATTTCATATGTTAATATAGAAGACATTACGACTTTAGGGCAATTTCTGGATAATGTGCCTGGAACAGACTACAGAGACCTTAATGAATATTGAATAAAATATATTTAAACATATATGTCTTGATATTCTTACTCTCTAGCTCAATATATACATATTAGACAAAGATATTTTGAAGATGAACGAAATGGATTTAACTTTGAAAATTATTAGATGTTTAGTGGTCGGTTTAGTGCAGCAGCTTAAGGTTGTTATCAGCGCAATGGAAATGGCAGTTAGATCTGCGAATAGATTCGGTCGTTACAAACCGA